ATTACAACAATAGAAAGAAAATGTTCTGTAAAAGAAGAAGAAGAAGAAGAAGAAGAAGAAGAAGAAGAAGAAGAAGAAGAAGAAAAAAGAACGTGAAGATTGTATTTTGTAGAGACAGGGAGGAGATACTCACTCCAGAAATAGGATCCTTGGCAATTTCCAGTGCCAGTGTGATGTCTGGTAAAGAGTAAGACTTGAGAAGTCGATGTCTGGAGACCTTTAAGACAGCCAGTCCAGCAGGCAAGAAATGATACAACTCAGATGCTTAAGAACCAAGAATGCAGTGGGCATTGTGGGTTAGAGCATGAGTGCTGACCAAGCTCATAAAAGACATATTCAGTTTATAAGAGGAGGCTATGTGCTGGGAACTCAGGAGCACTAGCACATTTTTACTTCACGGAAGAGATGCAAGAAGTGAGGAAAGCATGGAGATGGAGACAGGGGAGGGGCCGTAGGATGGCTGAAGGTACAGGGACTGTGCATGAGAGTTCACCGGACTAAGACAAGTCAAAAAGGAGAAGTGACAGCCCCCTGGCACGTTGCAATAATGGGGGGAGCCAAGGAAGCTGAAGACAAATGGCACTGACCTCTACACCTGCCAGGAATACTGTGAAGACAAGGGCAGAACTGAAGCTGTGAGCCTTGGCCTTGACTACTTTGGTTGCCAGTCTGGGCCTGGAAAGGGTGTAGCACCAGCATGGTGGGCTCTGAAAGGCAGAGGTTCCCGAGCCGCACTCAGGGACATTACAGCCTTGCCTTCAGTCCCCTCCCTGCTGCCTAGCTGTGAAGACTCTGCATGGAGCCAGAACAGAACATTTGGAATGCTCGTGTGTCCCCACACCAGTTCTCCATGCCCCTTCTCCTGATATGATTAGCCAGGACCTGTGCCTTTAAGGAGTGCCCTCTTCCACTGCCCTTCCCCCCTTCAATTACAGCACTAATTTCAGTAATGGAGCATTAATAGAGTAATGGGTGAGTGAGGCTGGCCTGAAGGAACTGTGGAGCTCAGCACAAATTGAGTAAATAAACCATATATTAGATTTCTAAACAATACTTTTAGTATAGTCTCTAGGGAAGGAGAGTCGTCAAGACTTACTTAAGTCATCCCTGCAAAGTGTATGCAAAGGAAGTCTCTCTTCGGAGATGGGTTGTTTGTAGAAGCAGAAAATAATCTCTCTCTCTCTCTCCTCTTCTCCCTCCCCCTCCTCTCTCTCTCTCTCTCTCTCTCTCTCTCTCTCTCTCCCTCTCTCTCCTTCCTCCTCTCCCCTCTCAGAGTCATCTTCTCCAGGGACATGGGACCACAAAGCAGCTGCTGCCCGCACATGTTCCCCTTTCTCATTATTTCCCAATTTCTCTTAACTTCGAAAGATGTGTCTGAGGTGGAAATGTCCAAGGTGTGCCTTTTCTCAGGAACCCAAGAAGGGTGGGCATTCAGACATGTCCTAGAGAACGCTAGCTAAGACAGCTTTCGGGGATCAGTGGGAACCAGACAAGGACAGGGTCCAGGAAGTTTGGAGGGAATGGGAGGTGATTATTAGAAGACAGGCTTATAATGGAATAATGGCCCTGTTGCTACCACCATGTGGCAGTGTTTAATGGGTTCTCCTGAAAAGTCCCTCAGGAAGATTTACAGTCCAGCCTGGACTCCTCAGCGGGTTCTATCCAATCCAACCTAAGCTGAACTGAGACCTGTCTCAAAAAACCCAAACCTCTTCCAACAAGGCTACACCCCTAATCCTTCCTAAATAAGTGCACTGACTGGGATCCAAACCTTTAAATATATTGAGCCTATGGGAGTCATTCTCATTCAAACTACCACAGATGGTAAAATGTTGGCATATGCTTCATCTGCTCCATGTCCATGACTAAATCCTATGTCTCTGTTGTGCTAAAGGGAAATAGAAAGATCAAAGGTGTAGGTGTCAACAGTCCAAGAGGTGCTCTCACCATTGTTATTAGCGTTGAGACTCTGAGTAGAGAATTTCACAATGCCTCAGCTTCTCTCTCTGTAAAATGGGAAGTGATCATTCTGCTTGATCCCTGAGAACTATTGTGAGGAATAAAGTGGATTGTGTGCCAGTTGACGGAAGTCCTACCAGCAGTTATTGGTTGAGATGATCATTGAAACTTGGCTGGATTTTGATTCACCATGGAAACATACCTCTGGGTGTGTCTGTAGGATTGTTTCTAGAAATGTGTAACTGAGGAAGAAAGCCTCACTCTGAGTGGGGGTGGTACCACCCGGTGATTGAAATGTCTGAGTAAACAGGAAGAATAAAACAAGTTGAGCACCCACCCATGCTTCGTTTCTCTCTGCTTACCGCGATGGATGTGGAATGGGCAGCTACTACGCTCTACGGCTTCTTTGCATTTCCGGCTTTGATATACTATACTTCAGACTGAGAGCAGCACAAACCTTTCTTTCTGTTACACTGCTTTCATCAGTAATTTATTTACACTAATGAGAAAAGTAAGCAATATACTTATAGACTCAGACTTTATGTTTCTGTTGCATGCAACTGGAACCCAGACCTAGCTGCTGAGGGAAAGAAGGTTGTGAGGTTTGTATGATGGCAGCAGTCTCTGAAATATTAGTCTAGTGTAATGTCTTAGGCACAATTCTATTTCTGTGAAGAGACACCATGACTAAGTCAACTTACAGAAGAAATCATTTAACTGGGGGCTTGCTTATAGTTTCAGAGAGTCAGTCAGTCCATGACCATCAGGCAGGTCATCATGGTGCTGGAGCTGGAGCTGAGAGCTTACATTTATCTGTAAGAAGGGGGCAGAGAAAGACAGGGAGAGAGACGGAGAAAGACAGAGACAAAGAGACAGACAGACAGACAGACAGACAGACAGACAGAGAGAGGAAGGAGGTAGGGCCTGGCATGGGCTTTTGAAAGCTCAAAGTTTACCCCCAGTGACAGGCCTCTTCCAACAAGGCTACACCCCTAATCCTTCCTAAATAAGTGCACTTACTGGGATCCAAACCTTTAAATACATGAGCCTATGGGAGTCATTCTCATTCAAACCACCACAGATTGTAAAATGTTGGCATATGCTTCATCTGCTCCATGTCCATGATGATAATACCCATGAAACTGTTGTTTCTAGACATGCTAGGGCTGCTATACTCGTGAACTCATATCAGTTGAAGCTGTCTGCACAAAAATGCCCAAAATCAAGCCAGTCAACATTGTTACATAGCTCAGGGAGGGGCTCACATGCTCCAGTAGATGCCTGAGATAGCATGTCAGTGTAGTGTTGTCGCTCAGGTCTAAGCAAGCCCAGAATAGGTACTGAGGACCCAGACATGAAGTACATAAGAACTCTTACTGACTGGGCTATGCCCAATGATGATGCATATCCTTTAGTTAATACTATGGCAATGATAGCTGTGTCCACCCTGCTAAGCCTTCCACAGATCTTCAGACTGAACATACTCACGACCTGGAAGACACTTTACATGCCCATGGTTGTACTTAGCACGTGCGCTATTTTTGTCCTGTGCAAGCAACATAGCCTGGGAGATTCTTCCCAAGCTGTATATTGTATGAAATACAAAAACTTCAGAATAAATCATAAGCAATATAGATATCATGCAGCAAATTTGAAATTTTAATGTTATACTCAAATTTACCTTTTAGAATGAAAATATCTAGTTTATACAAACTGGAAATAACATGCTCTATATAATTATGAATAGCATTGATTTTGACAGTGTTCATAAATTATTTCAGAAATTATAGGAGCAGACACATGAAGCACTATTTTAGCAATATCGTACATTCTAATTCTGTATTATCTGTCCCTTTAGGAGACAGAAGTACACTGGGGTGATTTAAGTGTGGCTTCCCAGGCACTTTTTTGGGGTACTGTTTGAAAACTTCTGTCCTAGACAGAGTCTGAGGTTCTAACATGAAAATGGATCAAGTTCCAGGGAATAAAACCCAGATAACCTATGGGGAGGCCCAGTGTTCAGGGGTGTGTGGTGTAGTTGGTTTTGAATAAGGTGGTAACTTGGAAGATGAGACTATCACAGGCTTCTGGCTTTCAGTCAGGATACTAGAGGGGCTCATGATGCTATCCCAGGCTCAGATGTCCCACTCAATTGTCCTTCCCAGGCTATGTCTCCTGATTGTAGCTCTGGTTTCACCTGGTGGCTCCATTCTGGCATCTTCCTAGATCTTCAGAACTGAATGCCATCTGTGTGGTTTCCATTTGACTGTGGTCATTGAGTCTCAGCTTCCACTATGTTCTTCAATCTGCTTGCCAGTTCAGGGCATCTATCCCACACATCCCATGCACAGATAATCTAATAGTCTACCCAGAAACCTGGTCTTTATTAAAAGTTGAGGGGGAATTATATTTGACCCCTAAAGCAGTATGGTTTCTTCTCTTCTTCTTCTTCTTCTTCTTCTTCTTCTTCTTCTTCTTCTTCTTC